TACAATGGGTGGACTAATAAACACATAATGTAACCAGACGAACTGGATAAAAAGCAACATGGGGATTGAGGGCCCTGCTCAATGAGCTTACATGCTAGAGGAAGCGGGGCATAGTGACACAAAAGGTAAAGGTAGAAATGTAGGCTGCTGGAATAGTGTTCATTGAGGGCTTAGTGTTTTGTTATGATGACATTCATAATGCTAGTAAAAGCATTAGGGGAGGTGTAGTCCACAACACCTGGAGTGCTGAAAGTTGCCTATACCTGGCATAGACCATGACATCATGCAAACATACAGGATAGCTCAGTATAGACCATGACATCACATAATAAAGGAATGCTTAGCATAGACCATGACATCATGTAATACAGGATAGCTCGGCATAGACCATGACATCACGTAATAATACAGGAAAGCTCAGCATAGACCATGACATCACGTAATAATACAGGAAAGCTCAGCATAGACCATGACATTGTGTAATAATACAGGATAGCTCAGTATAGACCATGACATCATGTAATAATACAGGAAAGCTTGGCATAGACCAGGACATCACGTAATAATACAGGAAAGCTTGGCATAGACCAGGACATCACGTAATAATACAGGAAAGCTTGGCATAGACCATGACATCACGTAATAATACAGGAAAGCTCGGCATAGACCACGACATCATGTAATAATACAGGATAGCTTGGCATAGACCATGACATCATGTAATAATACAGGAAAGCTTGGCATAGACCAAGACATCATGTAATAATACAGGAAAGCTCGGCATAGACCATGACATCATGTAATAATACAGGATAGCTCGGCATAGACCATGACATCATGTAATAATACAGGAAAGCTCGGCATAGACCATGACATCATGTAATAATACAGGAAAGCTCGGCATAGACCATGACATCATGTAATAATACAGGAAAGCTTGGCATAGACCAGGACATCATGTAATAATACAGGAAAGCTCGGCATAGACCATGACATCATGTAATTATACAGGAAAGTTCGGCATAGACCAGGACATCATGTAATTATACAGGAAAGTTCGGCATAGACCAGGACATCATGTAATTATACAGGAAAGTTCGGCATAGACCGGGACATCACGTAATTATACAGGAAAGCTTGGCATAGACCATGGCATCATGTAATAATACAGGATAGCTTGGCATAGACCATGACATCATGTAATAATACAGGAAAGCTCGGCATAGACCATGACATCATGTAATAATACAGGAAAGCTCGGCATAGACCAGGACATCATGTAATAATACAGGATAGCTCGGCATAGACCAGGACATCATGTAATAATACAGGAAAGCTCAGTATAGACCATGACATCATGTAATAATACAGGAAAGCTCGGCATAGACCATGACATCATGTAATAATACAGGAAAGCTCAGTATAGACCATGACATCATGTAATAATACAGGATAGCTCAGTATAGACCAGGACATCATGTAATAATACAGGAAAGCTTGGCATAGACCAGGACATCATGTAATTATACAGGAAAGCTTGGCATAGACCATGACATCATGTAATAATACAGGAAAGCTCGGCATAGACCAGGACATCATGTAATAATACAGGATAGCTCGGCATAGACCATGACATCATGTAATAATACAGGAAAGCTTGGCATAGACCATGACATCATGTAATAATACAGGAAAGCTTGGCATAGACCATGACATCATGTAATTATACAGGAAAGCTCATAGAGCATCATGTCATATAATAGGATAAGGCTGTTTGGCAGATACCTGGACATCATGATACAGAAAAAAAAAGAGCGGATTGCCATAATCCAATACATTGTCACATTTAACAGATGTCATAGTGTAGAAAAAAAACTTCACAGAAAAAGGCATTTTCACATTGTATAAATCTATGCATCATAGTGTGTACCCATCAGTGAGTCTATGTGTATACATGTGTGTGTTTATGTGTTTCTGCATGTATCCCTGTGTATGTTTTGTATCTGAGTTTCTGTATGTATCAGTCTTTATGCAAGTATACGTGATATTGTTTGTGTCAGTGTGTGTTTCAGATGATCTGGATGTATACCTATACGGGTATGTAAATGTATGAATGTGTATGTGTCTCAGGGTGTACACTTGTCATAGTGTATTAGTGTTTCTGTATACTTGTAAGTGTGTATATCAATGTACGTGGGTATAGTTGCCAGCCATGTGACAACTATACCCACATACCTGCATTTATGCATGTGTGTATACCTATTATTGTATCTATATTTGTAACAGTGTGTACATGTATGTATATATTTATACATTACTATCTGTGTGTGTATGCAACTGTATCAGAGTGTCTGTCATTGTGCCTACCAGGATCAGAGTGTATCTGTGTGGGTGTCAGCATGTGTGGGTATTAGTGTGTTTGTAATATATATATATATATATATATATATATATATATATATATATATATATATATATATATATATATATATATATATATATATATATATATATATTAAAAACACACACATATACACACACACATATGTGACAGCTTGTGTGTCTGTGTATATACCTGTCACTGTGTCTATCAGATGTGTATTTGTTGTCAGTGTGGGTATTAGTGTGTATGACTGTGTCAGAGAGTGTATCTCTGTGCCTGAGTCGGAATTGGAGTGTGTGTCAGTGTATGTAATCAATGTGTCAGTTTGTGTAATGAGTGTGTCAGTTTGTGTATCAGTGCGTTTAATGTGTTAGTTTTTGTGCAATGACTGTGTCTCAGTGTTTACAGTGTGTATATATACAGTGTCTGTGTGTCCGTGTTTACAGTGTGTGTATGAAGTGTGTCAGTGTTTAGTTTGTCAGTGTGTACAATGTGTATAGTATCTCAGTGTATACTGTATATACAGTGTTTGTGTCCTTGTATACAGTGTGTCAGTGTGTGTGTCCATGTACACAGTTTGTGTCCGTGTGTACAATGTGTATAGTGTCTCAGTGTTTATAGTGTGTACTGTATATACAGTGTTTGTATGTCAGTGTTTGTGTCCGTGTATACAGTGTGTACACAGTTTGTGTCCGTGTATACACAGTTTGTGTGTCCATGTGTACACAGTTTGTGTGTCCATGTATACAGTGTGTCAGTGTGTACACCGTTTGTGTGTCCATGTATACAGTGTGTCAGTGTGTACACCGTTTGTGTGTCCATGTATACAGTGTGTCCATGTATACAGTGTGTGTGTCAATGTATACAGTGTTTCAGTGTGTACACAGTTTGCGTGTCCACGTATACAGTGTGTCAGTGTGTACACAGTTTGCGTGTCCACGTATACAGTGTGTCAGTGTGTACACAGTTTGCGTGTCCACGTATAGTGTGTCAGTGTGTACACCGTTTGTGTGTCCGTGTATACAGTGTGTCCGTGTTTGTGTCCGTGTATACAGTGTGTCCGTGTATACAGTGTGTCAGTGTGTACACCGTTTGTGTGTCCATGTATACAGTGTGTCCATGTATACAGTGTGTGTGTCAATGTATACAGTGTTTCAGTGTGTACACAGTTTGCGTGTCCACGTATACAGTGTGTCAGTGTGTACACAGTTTGCGTGTCCACGTATACAGTGTTTCAGTGTGTACACAGTTTGCGTGTCCACGTATACAGTGTGTCAGTGTGTACACAGTTTGCGTGTCCACGTATAGTGTGTCAGTGTGTACACCGTTTGTGTGTCCGTGTATACAGTGTGTCCGTGTATACAGTGTGTCAGTGTATACAGTGTGTCAGTGTATACAGTGTGTCAGTGTATACAGTGTGTCAGTGTATACAGTGTGTCAGTGTATAAGGTGTATACAGTGTGTGTGTGTCAGTGTTTGTGTATATAGTGTATAAGGTGTATACCGTGTGTCAGTGTTTGTGTATATAGTGTGTATAAGGTGTATACCGTGTGTCAGTGTTTGTGTATATAGTGTGTATGAGGTGTATACCGTGTGTCAGTGTTTGTGTGTCAGTGTATATAGTGTGTCAGTGTTTGTGTATATAGTGTATACAGTGTGTATATGGTGTATACCGTGTGTCAGTGTTTGTGTATATAGTGTATACAGTGTGTATATGGTGTATACAGTGTGTCAGTGTTTGTGTATATAGTGTATACAGTGTGTATATGGTGTATACCGTGTGTCAGTGTTTGTGTATATAGTGTGTATAAGGTGTATACCGTGTGTCAGTGTTTGTGTGTCAGTGTATAAGGTGTATACCGTGTGTCAGTGTTTGTGTATACAGTGTGTATATAGTGTATACCGTGTGTC